ATTAACCTACTTGGAGCCTAGACCTATTATGAGTTCTGTGCTTAAAAGTGAGAAGCCTTAGCTTTTACAGAGATAAGTTACACTCAGACCTGGTAGCTAAAAGGCTTAGCCTTCTTAACCTGCCAAAAATATCTCATTAGTCAGTTCTCTCCTATTGCTGTGGTGACCGTTTATTGTTTGTGGACTAGAGGGCTTCCTCAGGATCTGGGTTTGTCCAAAGATTGCGAAAAGAGTATTGCTAGCCGTGGGAATGAGGAGGGCATTCAGTGGGAGTGGGCCAGTGTCCAAGGTGCTCACGGATGTACTCCTGAACCCTCGCTGCAAACATTAGCAGAAGGACAGGTGCATAATCACCTTGTTGAATGTACAGTTGAAATAACGAAGCGCTGTTGAAGTGTTTGGCTTTCAGCTCCTGCAGGTGATTGGGGCTCATTTTGAGGCTTTGTGTTGGGAAGGGAGGGCCGCTGCGTTCCTGCAGAGCCTTTGGCTGCCTTGCAACAAACCTGGTTGCTGATGCCCGGGCATACTTTGATTGATGCACAGATCAAGTGACTGTTGGGAGTGGCTTTTGGGGTGACGTCCCACGTACAGTGATGTCAGCAAAAGATTTTAAAAAATTCAGGTGTGGCATAATCTGCCAATTAAACTGATTAGTGCTCTGGCTGAGCCCTGAGAAGGAGCTCTGGCTCTCGACTCCTGCTTATTGAAGTGTTTTATTTAGTGCCTTTGTCTTGCCTGGTACGAGACTTACCTAGTACCTTCACTGCAGCACATAGTAACTTGAGGTAGGATACCATACCAAGGGCTATGTGCTAGCTCTCTTGCTACCTGGGGAGGTCACAAATGTCCCTGACTGCTTGGAAGCTGTGACACTGGAAGAGGTCCTGCGACTCCTGTGGGATCGGGATGGAGTGCCTCGCTGCTCTGTTGGCAGAAGTGAAAGCTAGCCAGGAGGCCATGCAGGCCGGACAGAAGGAACTAAAGCATGACGTGGAAACATCTCAAAAGGAAATCAGAACAGTGTTAGCACTGCAGAGAAGCGAGCAACAGGTGAAAGAAGATCTCAAAGCGGAGGTGAAATCCAGTCACTTGGATATAAGAACTGTGCTTGAGGAAATCCAGCGAGTAAGAGAAGAAATGGAAGCTCGCTTAAATACTCAAGCTGATCTGGTCTTACTGATCAAAGAAGTGAGCACCAATTTAATGTGTGTAGACAAAGCTTTCCAGAAAATGGAGGAGAGGCAGAAAGTTTTTACCAGCCTGCATGTTCCTACAAGAGAAAATATTGAGCAAGGATTTTTCTTTGAAAAATACTTACACAAGACACAGATGGGTTTTGAAAAACCTGTGGAAGCTAACAATTTGGATGAGGAATGGGAAAAGAAGGTGCTTAGGGGTAAGACAATGGTGACTCCAAAAGTGTGGGGAGAGGAGTGAAACTGTGCCTACTTGTGCTTGTCAAGTAGTTTGTTTAGGCTCTTTGGAATGCTTTTAAGAAATGTAATTTTTTTTAGGAATTAATATCTTAAAGTAATTTTCATCTGGTAGTCCTGCAACAGTGCACAAGATAAGGAAGCTGAGGAAACCAGCAGTACCAGGCAAGTTGTGAGATAGCCAGCGAAGTACTGGGCAATACCACAGCACTTAAACGTAACTTTATGGAACACACCCTGATGTACAGGCAGTTGTGCATTTCTCTTGCCTTTTGAACGCCTATAAACTAGAGAAGCCATTGGAAACAGTTTGCTTTATGGAAAAGCGAGGGACGGGTCTAATGTTCTCCCCAAAGAACTGGGGTTGGCTGCTGCCATCTGTGTAGTAATGGTGGAGGGAGTGGGAGGATTTTTGGACCTTTTTCCAAGGTCATGGGGGTTTCTTTTTGCCAGCGAGTGAATGATTCAGTGATCAAAAGGCTTAGTCTTTGTAAAATCACTGCTAACTTATTTTTACTGGTACAAAGGAGGATAGGACCTTAGATGGTGATTGGTGATCAAAAGGCTTAGTCTTTGCAAAATCACTGCTAACTTTACTGGTACGAAGGAGGATAGGACCTTAGATGGTGATTCTGTGTGGTTACTATGCTACAGGCAGTGCTTGAGAATCTGATTTCTAGTCTTCAGAAATTGAGCATTTCACCTAGATTGGGTACAGTGTCTTCGGGCCTGTTGGAAAGGAGTCCAGAACCTAACTGAAGGGTGGAAATTGTTCTGCTTTATAAGTCCGACTGTATAAAGGTGGCCAGTAAAAAGGCCCAAGTGAGGAGGTCTTGGGCTGGTAACCAATACTGTCTTTAAATTAGAGTTCATCACTGCTGTGTTGTGTCAGTAATTAGACTCATGATGCTTTTGTTTTAATGAAAGCATGGCTTTTGTTTTGACATCACAGCATGCCTTCTATAAAAATCTGGAAACAATCTGTCATTGCCCAGAGGTACGTAGGCCATAAATAAGCATTGGAGTGTCACTGGTGTTAATCTGTAGAGGCAGTTCATGCTACAGAGGCTTCATGCTAGCAGAGAAATGCTTTTCAACATCTGAAGTGGCTGTGTGTAGCACATGTCTATGATAAAACTGCCAAGAGGAATGTCACTGAATTTCTCTAGTGCATGTTTTTTGTTCAGCTTTTTTTAGTATAGTATCCAGGGTTGGCTTGGTTGGATGTTTGAATGAGCTTCTAGGAAAAGACTTCGTAGTCTGGGCACCACGATAAAAGCAATGGTGGGAACTGGCAAACTGATAAAGGTTGGCTGAACTGTGGAAACAGTGGATAGCTGGAGTCTCGTGTCATTTGTGGTTAGCTGTTGTATCACTGTACTTAAATGAAATAACTTCATTAGGTAACAGCATGTGATGTAACTTTCTCCCAGAATAAAAATTGTCTGCAAACATTTGTTCAGGTTTAATGCAGCCCTGTCAGGGTCCTACAAATGGATGTAAAAGTAATTTCATACAGTTAATTAAATGATGACATTAGCATCTGCATTGGTGAATTCACCCAGTAGCCTTAAATCAGGAAGAGTGCTCTAGTTCTCTATTTATTGTAAGTGGAGCAGTCAGGAAGGGAGGTGGGACATATGAGACAGTAGAGTATGTGAGCCAGGAGGGCAGGGAAGGACTGGCTGTACGTGTTTGTTCTCTAGTCCCAGCTCTTGCTTCCTCTCTCCTTCATTATCATCTATTGTGATGATTTTTTTTTTTTTCCGAAAGAGCTTCAGAAAGTAACCAGTACTTTCCGAAACACAATATTCTTCGTAAGATTGCTGGAAATCTGACATGGTTCTGTCTTTCATTTTAAGAGATCTACTCAAAGGACACCATTATGTCTGCACTGTGAGCAAAGAAGCGGTCACATTAGTTAAGATGGTGGTAAAAATAAGCTAACTAGAATTGGCAGCCAAGCTTGATCTTTCTTTCCCCTACAGATTTGTATTTTGATTTGGGTTATTGTGTTGATATTCCTTTTAACAGCTCTACTATTAAACTGCAAGATAATATGTTTCTAATTGAAAAGATACTCTTTAACAGTCAGCATCTCTGAGCAGAAGTGTACTGAAATCTCCAAGAATACAAGAGCATCTGAACATGATATGCTGACAATTCTTTTAACTATGAGGGATGACAGAAAATCTTGCTTAGAGAGGATTTATTTGCAAAATTAATAGGCTCGGGAGGCACTTTATACCTGGCTCAGTAAGAGAGGCACAGAGCACATCAGTATTTTGAACAGGAAACTTGTTTTCAAATGCTTTGAAAACAAGTGAAGGCTGTGCCAGACTGATACATTAATGCAATAGTTGATGTGTCAGTCAGACTAATGCTAACTGAGAATCAAAGCTTTGTCATTAATGCTGTCCCTGGTTGTGTGATTGGACCTTACACCTCTGGCACTATTCCAGAATCACTTGACAACCTGCAAAGCAGGTGCTTGAGCTTCAGAAAGGATTCATGAGCAACTACTTCTGGTTGGTTAGTTTGTCCCCTGGTTTTTTTTCCGCATGTTCCTATTTTTTTTCTCCAAATCTCATCTCTCAGGTTTTTTTTTCACTTTATCTTGAAGCAATCTTGTTAAGTTGAAACTGTACAAAGTAATCTGCTTAGATGCCTTCATTAAATTGCCAAGGGATATTTATGTATTGCATCAGTCCTTTTATTGCAAAAGTGTTTGCTCCACTCCCCGTGGGATCAAACGGGGAAGGCTGGCTCTGTCTGCACAGCAGCGCTGTACTCCCTTGCCGCTCTGAAGGCAGCAGAGACGCCTGTAACCTCCGCAGTGTTTACGAGTCCAGCGCTGGATATGTAATGTGGTTTCCTCTGACAGGAGATGATTGTGTACTGTGAAGGGATTGAGGTTACAACATAACTAGGAATGTTGAATCAACGATGTAATTCTTGGACCGTGAATAGCGGCGAGGCAAACGTGAGATTTTAAAAAATTCAATATATTTCATCCTCCTGACTGAAATTGCAGACACTAAGAAATGCTGCAAGACCCTTTAGTTTATAAAGCTCAAACTGGAGCTGCAGAGAGGGGAGTTTTTGCAATGAAAACTTTGAAAGGAAGAAAAAGACCAAATAAACATAGGGAAAATGGGTTTGTATTCACCAGTACTTGAGAGTGAAGGAAATATGAAATCCATGTTGCAAACAAAAGCAGTCAATTCTCATGTTAGAAATGTTACCGGATAGGTAGGATGAGAGAGATCTTGCATTTTATGAAAGTATTTATTTAAAGCCCAGAGTGAAGAGTGTGCTGGAAAGCAAGCCACAGAAGATGTGAAGGTGAGGATGAAGTCCAAAAGGCTGTATGCAAGGTTATGGTGCTAGAAATGAACCTGGGAGGTGCCAGGGTCTGCTCTGCAGTGCTACTGAAATAACGCTTTCTCCTAGTTAGTATTCCAGGAAGTGTTTATAAGAATTTCTAAATACCTTCTTTTGCACCTGTCTTTTAAGTTTTGGTGAGACTTCAAAGTGCATATTAATTTGTTGTTGTTGTTGTTTTAGTTGACAAGGGCAAGCAGCGGAGTCCCAAGAGCTCCTGTATACAGGCTCAAGCCTCCACAGACGTTCGTTCGCCTGGCACAAAAACAGCCGAGCTGACACAGTACAAATCAAAATGTGAGACCCAAAATGGAATCATCCTGCAGCTGAAGAAGTTCCTGACAAGCAGTAACCAGAAGTTTGAAGCGTTAACGGTTGTGATCCAGCACCTGCAGTCTGAGGTAAAACCTCACAGCTAATCAATTTTGGCTTTAATTTGTTGAACTCTTCTCAACAAGGGCTTCTGAAAATACTAATATAGTGATGCATAACATCTGTGTTTCTATTCCAATGACTTCTGTTTTCCTGGGGAGGTAGCAATAAACCTGCTCTTGGCATCAATTGGATAGGAAAAAATAAAACCCCTGACACTGCGTTATATGGCCTCTTTGCAGCTTCACATCCTTTTTAGAAGATAAGTTTTTAAATGTTTGTAGTCAAAGAGTCCTTCAGGGCCGAGTACCTTTCCAAGTATACACTTCAAGTTCTGCCCTTGTAGGAAAGATTAGTTTCAACAGATAATCTGCATGACCTTGCTTTGTTGTCTGACATTGGATAAAGAGTATATAAGGAGTAGATATGTTTGAGTTATTCAGAATAATGTGTGAGTTATAATGGTTATTATTGAATCCTGCATTATTGGTGGCATCTTAAAATTATCAACATTACCTTTAAAAAAAAAAAAAATTTTAGAAATGCACCTGGAATTTAGAGTGGAATTGATCTGATGTTTTTAATGTTTATTTGTTCTAGTCTGACATACATCATGATCTAATCAGTTTGATACTACACTAGAAACTTTTGGTCTTATTTGAAAACTTTTGAGAGAAGAGAAGTCTGAAGTTAAGGAAATTACAGCAGTTATGCATTTATGCTGCAACTGTTGATGCAGGCTTTAATAGCAGTTTCTCTTGCATTTATAACAAACGTTCCAAGATTGGTATCGATTTTATTTCTGCTGTTCCGATAGGCAGTGATTTTATAGTCTGGTACACAAAAAAACCACTGAGTTGTCTTAATATGCTGCCAGAAACGTAACATCCTCTACTTGTGGGATAATATCTTTTCACTCTCATTTCATCTAAAAATACTGCATTTAAGTCCAAGATTGGTTCAGCTTTGTAAGAGCACTGGCTCTTAGCCAGTTTTGTGGGTTTGCTTTGGTTGGGTTTTTTAAACTCTTGATTGGAACACCTTTCTCTGCTAAGGAACTAGTTTAAGATCTTCAGAGCACTTTGTTACAGGGTTTTGAATGCCTGTCATATAATATGAAATTGTGAAATTTATATGTGAAATTCTCACTGCTAAACTTCTGTGCAGTCTAATTACTGCATAATAAGCACCTTGATTTTCGGTAACTTTGATAATTAAATGTCTTGGTCTAGATTCTTCTATCAAATATTTTGTATTTCAACTTTTTAAAATTCAGGAATACTTTATCAATGTCATATTTAAGAAGCCTGTCATACATATTTGCTTCTTCCAGGCTATTTTACAGGTTACTTAGTCTAAACATGATTTTTTTTTTTGATAATGGGAATGGTTATTAAAAAAAAAAGACAAAAGTGGTGTTGAAGATGGAAGGAAAAGAACTGCATGGAGGACACTAGTAATCTTGCTCCTTCTTTCTCTTCGTTATTCTTTTGTAGGTGGAAAGAGCAAAGATTTTATTTCTATCAAATCATATAAAATTAGTAATCTTTCGGAGTTAAGTCTAAGCACAGGACACTGGGCTAAATATGACATATTAATGTACTTTCATACCAGTAACTGGTATTGAGGTGGTTCTCTCCTTTCCCAGGGGAAGACAAAGCCTGCTGAAGAGTTCTTGTGTACTTACCATAGGGGTGAGGAGGACTTTTCTGCTGTGGTTGGATAAGGAATACCCCGAATCTGGTAGTTAGCTGGTGGGAAAAATATCTTGCAGGATTTCTGTGTTTTAGGGAACACTGAAGAGTTGTGTTGGTTTTGTGGTTTGTTTTGGTTTTGTTTGTTGGTTTGGGTTTCTTCTCTTCTGGTGAGGTGTGGAGTCTGTTATAGCTAACTTAATCTCAACTGGCCGTACGTTTATTTTTATCAAGTATCTCTTGGGGACCCCTTCGATGTAGTTTTCAAACTCTTTGAGTAAACTCAGGGACAAGCTTGGAGTTAGGTTTTAGCATGTAGATCAGGGGCTCATAGCTTAGCTACTGCAGAGCCAGCTGAAAGTAGCTTCAGCTCTTCTAGTTAAAAAACCCAAACAATAAATTGTGCTTAGCTGATTACATGAAGAACAAAGCTGTTCTTCCATTCCTCTCGGTAGAGCAAGTGTGAAGTGACACGATGCAGCGTAAGCTGATGAAACGGCTTGCTGTAACCAGAGGAAGGTCCTGCTCTGGACTCCTCTGGTGCTGGTCTCTCTCCGCAGGAGGTTGATTCAGCATGCAACTCCCAGAATCACAGAAAGCTTTTTTTTTTCTTTTTCCAAGATGTCCTCAATGCATTTCTGCACAAAAGTTTAAAAGTTGCTTCTTATGAGCTCTTTTTGAAATGGGATAGCTGCAAACAAAACCGGGGCTTGCTGGCCAGGGCTTCTGTCAAAAATGTGGCCAGTCCACCTGGTGTGAAGCTGCGAGGCTGCTGCCAAAGGGTTAAACGAGATTGAGCAATGCTGCTGTGCTCTTTCTAGCCCAGCCGGAATCTCTCCCAAAACTACCTGAGCTCAAACCTGTTTGTTGCAAGTGTTATCTTGGAGCTGTCAATATTAACACCTGGCTCTAATAATACCTTCTCACTTGAGCTGTCAGGGTTTGTCCAGGGGATTTCTGTGCTTAACTATCTTTACCAAGAGTCTTCTGAATTTTAAAATCCTAAAAACCCAATTTCGACCTCGCGGGAGCTACTGTTGTACTGTTTTAATACCAGATGGCAACCCTCTTGGCATCCAGAGTACTCGATGGCAATAAACAGTGTGGCTGGTGAGAACGTTGTGCTGTAGTGAGGTTTTTTTTCTGTCGTTAGACAGCTGTATGTGCATTAGCAGTGTTAAAACGTGTGTCAAACTGCGGGCTAATCACAAAAGCAAGCTTAGTCTTTCTAGACTACTGCGCTCCCCCTGATCCCTGGGTAATTCCTGTGACTTCATAACTATTTTCCTGTTTTTTTTAAGTTCAAACGAGAAAGGAAAAGTGGTAGTACAGAGGAAATGGTGAAATCAGCCATTTACAATAAGTGCGTGATGTGCCAAGGAAAGCCATCTTCTGTTAACTGCATTAAGCTCTGAAACTTGCACCGCTGCATTTGAGTTGATCTTTTAACTTCCCCTGGTATTCATTTTGCATATTAATTTTGAATTTATTTCTTGTCCCTTCAGTAACAGATGCGTTCACAGAGGCTTTAAATCTGTGGTTTAGCCATGTCTGTGGTAAGTCAAGCCGTGGCTGGCACTCCTGCAGCCCTGCCCTCTCTTCCCTTGCCCTCATGTCTGCACGGGCTGGTGCTTGTCTGGCCTTGAGGAGCCAGTTCAGGCATCTAGTCAGGAAGAAAAAGAAATGATTATGGGTCTAGTTTTATAGGTCTGTCCATACCCAAAATGTTATGGCTATGTCCCACACAGTGGTTCACTGTGGGAAGCAGTGGGAGTGAAGGTCCACTGGGGTTGGGGTGGGGTGGGAACATGGCCCAGGAGGTCTGCAGCCATGGGTAGGAGCCAGATGTTCCCTTGGGAAGGAAAATCCCAAACTCAGATTGTTTTTGTGATGCTCCGCAAAAGTACATCAGAAGCTCATGAGCCTGAGGCCATGGGGACTCCTGCGTGTGCATCTACTTCTCTCCTCCTGAGGGGTGCTCAGCCCCTTCCCCTGCCTCAGGGCTGCTGGCCCTGCGGGGCGGCGTGAGCTGGGGAGTTTGAACCTCTAACTCACTGCTGTACGTAAACTCTTAGATCTTTGGGGGCAGAAGCTGTTTCTTTTAGCAGCACAATACTAGCTTGGTTTTAAATCTGGTTTTGACTGTTCAAGGGAGACTTAGCTTTCGAGTGAAAAGGCAATATATTGTTAGAGTGACTTGAATGGCTTTGTGACTGTGCAAAGTGAATTGACAAATACTGCCTTTTCATCCTCTCATTTTAGTGCCTAAATTGCCACATTCAGAACTACCCAGGCTGTTTAAAAAAACTAGATGGTAAAATGTTTAATTGTTAAACACCCATTTCTGTTCTTCTAGTTTAATAAATGAATCTAAGTGTTTTGAGAGCTCTCAAGAGATTCTGCTGTAGAAATGAGCTTCAGATTTGTGTCTGTGCCACAGGGAGCTACAGAGGTGAGCAGAAACCAGATTTCACTGTTGGTGCTTCTCTTGGTATGGTTACAGGAAGACTGGTATTTACAGTTCAGACTTGGAAATGACTGTGGTGACATATTCAAGAAGTTTCCTTCATAGAGGGAAATGCCATTTGAGAGGCTACAGAGCCTTGACGATAATATGTGGATACCACTAATTGTGGATGTGACACGGGAAGCAACATAAGTAATGTGCTAGAAATTCTCTGGCTGCAGTATTTCTGGGTGGAAATAGAAATTAACCATTAGTACCTGAGCTTCTGTAACTGGCATTTCCTGCTAGTGTGAATGACTGTAAGAGTCGAGGTGCTTGTTTTCTTGGGAACTTCTTCACACTTCAAAGAGTTGTTTTCCATCTTGGAATACATGGACACATGCATCAGAAAAAATTGTCCTGGCCTTTGTGGAAGTTCAGCAGAAAATATTTATCAAATGAGAAACGCATATCTTGCTTAAGCAGCAGGTGGTTTGCATCGCTAAACCCAAAACCATTTATAGTGGAAGGAAGAGTTTGGGAGCAGTCATATTTCTGGCCTATAAATCCAAAATGTATTGGCAGGCCTATTGTTTAGAGCAGTTGTCTTTGAGTTAAATTTATAGTTCTGATTTTCTAGAATCTAACGTCAAACTTGGCCGGTTCTCATTAGGATTTTTCATCCAAAGTATACTTCTGCTCTTTAAATCTGGCTTCCCAAAATAGAGACATAACTTTTTACAAGAGAGAATAAGGATATTTAATTTAGATAATTTTGGGGGTTTAGATTTAAAACAAAACCACTTAGAACAGAAGCCAAAAGATAGTATCTTGAATTTAAGAAATTCAGTATTTTCTGTTCATAAAGGAGAGTATTTGAGTCCTAACA